AGTAAGTTTACTCTTATTATTAATTATTGATTATTTATTTATTAGTGATGAGGATGATACTCATTAATATTACAATATTCGGAATTGTTAGGAGAGATTTCTTATTTGTTACTACAATTATTTGGAATTAATATTATTGAATCTGATTGGAAATACACTGAATTTGAATAAGTGGAAACAACATGGCCATGGTAAAATTAGTGGATGTAATTGGATCTTTCAATTTATAATTTGAGTGGATGATTAATGACATTGTCATATTGATGTTTCTGTAATTAACAAGTTGAGCTTTGATAATTTGAGTGGATGGCCAATATTTAGCTGTTGCTTTGTTACATGATTTCAAATAATGACAAGTTGATTTTAGACTTGTTCAAATTTAATAAATTTACTTTTTTTACAGTCTAAAAACTTGATACCAATTACTGTGTAAAATACCCTTAACTTTTTGTTTTTTTCGAGCCCTGAATTATTAACAAAACTTTCTCAAAGTTGCACCCAACTTTGAGGGTGAATTTCGGTTTTTTTAGGGGTAAAGTTTAAAATGTTGACAAGCCAATCACAGCTAGAGCAAAGCAAAATGTGACCCTAAAAAACCCTCTAAAAAATATTCGGGTTTTCTTCAAATTCAGGGAATAAAAAAGAATGAAAAACTCATCACTACAAACTGGAAACAAACTTGTTGCAGAGAGAACCAAAGCACATCAACATTCTGAATTTCTAGAGAAGGTTAAAATACATGGCAGAACTCCAATGAATCATCCTGAATTTTATAAAGTGATGGAAGTTTGCAATGAATCTCTTCCCTATGTTCAATCATTGAATAATTCTACCAATCAAGATGAAATACATCAAAGATTTGGTGAATTAATTGATAGTCCATTAGATAAATCCACAGGTGTATTTATACCATTTCATACTAATTATGGAAAAAATATCAAAATTGGAAAGAATGTTTTTATTAATCATAATTGTTCATTCTTAGATCTTGGAGGTATTACAATTGAAGATGATGTAATGATTGGACCATGTGTTAAAATTACAAGTGAAGATCATCCAATTTCAGTTAAGGAACGTAAAACTTTAATTACAAAAAATGTACTAATTAAGAAGAATGCTTGGATTGGAGCAGGTGCAACCATTCTTCCAGGTATAATTATTGGTGAAAATTCTATTGTTGCAGCAGGTGCAGTTGTTACTAAAAATGTTGAACCCAATACAATTGTTGGTGGAATACCTGCCAAAGTCATTAAACAAATTGAAGATTAACATTTAACTTTAATAAATATTATTTGACATGAAATGGTCATTCGAATTGGTGGAAAAAAGAATCAGTACTTAAACTCTTCTCTTTTCATGTTTAGCACCATAATAAGTATGATAATCAGTAACAAGTTGATGATCGTTATTAATTTTTGATTCATCATCCAATCGAAGTGAATCAAAAAATTCATGTAATAAAAGATCTTTAGCACTTGTTCCACTCGATGATTTGATACTTCTCTTCAAATCACTAAATAATTTAGTATCTTCCTTAGTAGATGTGGATGAATCTAATTTAATTCTCTTTGTTAAAATTTCCTTCACTCTATCTAAATCACTATTAAATGCATTCGAATGAAAAATATTTCCACTTTCAATTTCTTCTCCATCTTCTTTTTGAATTCTACTCAATCCATAATCTGCAATTTTTAACATGAAATTACATTCAATTAACCAAATATATTCATCTTGTTCAATCTTTTCAAAGAATGCAATACCCTTCTTATCTGATTTTGGAAGTTTCTTATAAAGTACATTTCTTTCATGCATATCATTATGTTGGAAACCAATGGATTCTGCAATTGCAAGTGCAAATATTAATTGAAATGCAATTGATTTAGCAAATGAAAGTGAAACCTTTCCATTGATTGAATTTTCTTGAATTAAATCAACAATTCCACCATCACACTTCTCCATCATGATATTAAAATAATGTGGACATGATGTCTGTTTCTTTTTTCTTTTAGGTTGCTCCATTTCTTCTTCTTCTGAATCAGTTTCATCATCATATAAATCATCCTCAGGACATGTTGTACTTGAGAATGAACTAAACACATTTGGAAATAAATTCAATTTTCCAACTCTCATTTTAGTTAATTCTTTTTGAATTTTAAATTCTCTAATGGGTGTACAATTTTCTTGTTTCTTTACAATTTGTTGACTTTTAACAGCAATATTTGGTGTTTTAAAAGATGGAGAAAATAATGAATTTAAAGCATTACTTGTTGCATTGGAAGGTGAAAATAAAACATTTGGATCAATGTTTTTGAGTGGTGTTCTAGGTGTTGGTGTTCTTTCACCTCCTGATTCAGAATCAGCATTGCTCTGTTCATTGTTCTTTTCATTCTCTTTTGATAGAATAATTACACTTCCATATTTACCTGACATGATATTTGTATCCTTCTGTACTGCTAATTTTTTACGTTTCACTTCGTCGCGAAATCTCTTATTGGGTGTTTTCAACATGTTGGCAAAATTGATGGCACTCGTATTAGTACTAGCAGAGTTGATGATTTGTTTACGAGGTGTTGTTAATCTGGATGGAGAGGAATCACATAATGGTGTTGGAGGTTGTTGTGGTGGTAGTGCACTACTTGTTGTTGCGGAACGTGATGAGGCTCTGGTTGTTCTACGCATTTTTTATTGGATTTAAAGGTACTCTTTGATTTTTCTAACGGATAGCTTTGGCGGGCTTCTACTGTCATATGGAAAATGTAATGAAGAAAAGATGATGGGTTTACATTCAAAGAAAGAAATGAACACTGTATCAAATGACAACTCCACCAAGATAAAACAATCATATTATTCTCTGACATTCACTATTTTCTTTGTTCTTAATGAAATTTGGAAGATTGACCCAACACATTCCAATTCTAATTTTCAGAGAGAATACGGAATATTAAAAGAAGGTGAAATATGCTTTCTAAGCCAAATAAATCTTCTTCTTCACATCTTCTATTGAGAAGAGGAGCCAAACAACTTTCCATTGAGGAACGAATTTCCCATCTTTTAAAACAATCAACTCCCACACTCCGGAGAATCACACAACTCCAAATACCAAATTATTCCACTCGCTCAAACACTTTAAAAAAAATTAGCAGTGTAACTCCCACACAAGTATTCTTCTTCTAGTGTGTATTCTATAAATTATCATCATCATCACCAATAATCATCATCATCATCATCAACAATAACATTGAAATTCATCATCACAATCATGAATGATAATTCAGCCTATTACTTGTCATCAGAGACACCCATAATGAATCCACCCTTTCTTCTTTCATCAAATCAAGAAGATCCATCATTACTATCAATAAATAATGTTGGATATGGTGGAGTGGGAGATTTGAATGAATCAACAGATCATTTACTAGGATCCAATGAAGTAGTTGATAATCAACAACAACAATTAAATCATGATGATTTAAATAATGAACATGAAGTTATAATTAAGAAACAACTTCCATCTAAAACTAATTCCTTTTCAACTTTTTTAAATTTAACTAAAACATTTGCAGGTGCATCAACTTTTGCTTTACCTTGGAGTTTTAAACAATCTGGATTACTGACAGGTGTATTAATTGTATTATTTCTTGCTATTTTAAGTAATTACACAATGAAATTATTGATTAAATGTAGAAGATATATACAGTCACAAGAAGAATATAAAGAATCATCTGAATATTGGAAGATTAGACCAGTAAGATTACCAATTTCTCATAAAAAAGAATTAAATGATGAAGGAAAATTAATTAATTTACCAATTTATCCTAAAAAACATTCACCACCTAAAACTATTGATGAAAATGGTGAAATTATTACAACTATTGAAAAGTCAATTGATCCAAATGATTATATTTATGAACAAGATAGAATTATAACTTATATTGATATTGGATATGAAGCAATGGGTAATTTTGGAAGTATACTTGTATATGTATTAATGGTTATGTGTAATGTTGGTGTTGGTACAATTTATTTAGTTTTAATGGCTGGTTGTTTAAATGGAATGGTTCCAGAAGTTCCATTAAGAGTTTGGATGTTATTTTTCATTCCACTTTTCATTGTACTTTCTTGGATTCGTTCTTACAAATATTTAGCACCACTCACAATGATTGGAACTATTGCTTTATTATTGGCCCTCGGTTCTGTACTTGTTTATGGTTTCATTTATCAAAGACATAATATGAAATGGCCATGGGAATATGCTCATGTTGCTTGGATTGAACCTTCTACATTGGTATGTTATTGTGAATTGATTCTTTGAATGATTGTTAATTGTTAATGATTGAATGATTGTTAATGTGATTGTTAAATGATTGAATAATTGTTATTCTTGATATATAGCCACTTTGTATTGGTAATGTAATGTTCTTGTTTTGTACTCATACAATGATGTTATCAATTGAACAATCAATGAAAACAAGAAAAAGATACTATACTACTCTCAATTTTTCATTCATTTTTGTAGTTATTGTTAATTTGACATTTGGATTGGTAAGTTTAATCATTATTTCTCTCTCTAACATATTTCACATTATATTAATGTCATGAATAATAGTTGGTATTTGAATTCTTCCCTTATAATATTGAACAAAGTGCAACTGAAAATCTTCCACAGAATTCCATTTTTGTCTATATAATTCAATCATGTTTATGTTTAGAAGTTATATTAACATATACAGTTGTATTAATGCCAGTTGGTGAATTATTTGATGAAAAGATTTTACAAAAATTATTAGAAAAATTGAAGAGATTTGTCAAGAATCAAAAATTCTCTAAATTTCTCTATTTCCTACTGAGTGTATTATTTAGAAGTTTAATTGTTGTTATAACAGTTGGATTAGCAGAGGTATTTGGTGATAGATTTGGAGTAGTCATGTCATTCATTGGCGCACTTTCACCAAATCCATTAGCTTTTGTTTTACCTCCACTTTTTTATTTAATTATTATGAGAAAGACAATTTCATTACCTACTTTTATTTTAAATGCTTTTATTATTGTATTTGGTGTTTTAACAATGGTATGGAATACTTATTCAAGTATAATGTCAATAATTAATGAAAAATAAATGAAAAATAAATGAATGCTTAGTTAATGATTAATCTTTTAGTAAATTCTAACCCTTATCTGTTTTATATGGAGATATTTTTGTAAACAACAATGTTAATATGTTCCAAAGACATTCGCCTTTGGAGATAGATATTGTGCATGTTTTTACTCCTCACTGCTATTGATGATTGAATTTACAATAGGAAGGAAAATTAAAATGGAGATGATGATAATTAATTTTCCATCACTGCGATGCACACTCTTACTAAAATTGTCCTATTCATAGATAAGGTGCGTACTTTAAATTAAAAAAAAAGCCTCAACAACAATCAACTTGAACCTATTTTCTTTTAAATCCTCATCGACAACAATATTATAGGCTATATAGACTATAATTATACAATCTACACCAACAAACAAACGATATACATTTTACAACAATGACAACTTCAACAGATACTGATAGTCAATATTCATCTGTGGTCGGAAAAGAAATTGATGATCATGATGAACAACCAACACTTTTAGATGTTTTATTATGTTGTTGTATGCCATCACTAAGACCTTCACGTTTAATTTATTCAATTTTATATCCAACATTGAATACAATTTTAAATCAATTTGGAAATTTTAAACTTGAAAAGATTATTAGAAATATAGTAACTCATCCAATCACTAAATTTATAACTATTCATTATGTTAAAATAATTAGTGTATTAACTTATTTAAGCATATCATTAATACTTTCAGGATTAGGAGCATTCTTCTTTTCATTAATGTTATTAACTTATTATAGACCACCAACACAATTTGATCATCCAATCTTTTTTATTAGAAATGGAACAACATTAAGTGCTAATGTGACACTTTTATCACATGATACCTCTAAATCACTTGTTCAAAATGGATTGTATATTGATACTTTTAAAGTTAAATTTAATTTACCTGAATCAAATGTAAATAGAGATATTGGAATGTTTTCAATTCATGCAGAATTTTATGATAGATATAATTCAAAACTTTATTCAACATCTAGAAGTGTATGTGTTAAATCTTTAAATCATTCTCAAGGTTTTTCTCAGAGTATTCTCAAATATAAATCAGTAATGAGTGAATTAGTTAATACTGTATTTTCATTACCATATGCTTTATTAGGAAAAGCTGATGAAACTGAAACTCAATCTGTTGATATGTTAACTGAAACACAATTATTAGAATTTAATTCAAGAGTTGTACAAAGAGCTTCACATGTTTATGTTTGGTTATCTCATGATAATTTACAAATTTATAGCAGTAGTATTCAATTATTTGCAAGGGTTACTGGAGTTTGGCATTATTTGTATCAATATCCAATCACTTGCTTTTTAATTCTATTCCCAATGGCTTTTCTTTCAAATATGAGTGGTTATTTATTTGTTGGTGCCTTTTTATTTTACAAATTTATTTACAGTAGTGGAAAATCAAATAGCATTACTACTAGTACAATTACAAAACAATCTATTAAGCAACAAGCAACTTCTAATGAAAGTTCAACTACTTCAAGAAAGAAAAAGATTACAACAACAACTGTTAGAAGAAAGAAGATTATTCATACCTCATCATCTGATTCTATCAGTGATGATAATGATAGTATTGATGAGGACATTAATGAAAATATTGAGAATGATGAACAACAACCAAGTAGAATTGATTCACCTTCTCAAAGCTCTACAACAAGTACAACAAAAAGACAAGCTGCCTCAAACAAATTGAAAAAGAGATTAAAGAAGAGAATTGAATTACAAGATGAATAAACTGTTAAAACCTTAAATTGATGATAAAACAATCAGAAATCATTATTCTCAAAAATGTAATATCCTTAACCTTCTTGATGTATTCATGAATCACTCATTAAATGTTGTGCACCTTAATCAATGTTGTATGACAACTCAAGAATGTATTCTTCCTCTGATACAAGTTGTTTATTAAAATCAGAGTCAATGGATGATACAAAATACAACATGCTGCTAATTCTTTCTCTCGGTAAGTTGTCAATGCAAAGAAACACGGAAAGCCTTCGGCATTTGAATAAAAAATATTCCAAATTACAAAAAAAATACAACCACTTGGAAAACCCTTATAATGTCATCCGAAATTTTAAAACAAGGTGCCCACGAAGAAAAGGGTGAAATGGCCTTTATGGTATGTATAGAGAAATTTGATGATGTATATTAAAGGATTGATGATAAACGGGATGTGGATTTTCTTCATTTCATACAACAACAAAAATTTGATACAATATTGATAATACTTTTTTAAAAACAACAATACAACAGAGTAACATCATTGGTGCCATTGCTGTAGCTGACCTTCTTAAAACAACCCTTGGTCCAAAGGGTATGGATAAGATTTTAGTTAAAGTTTCTGAAGGAGCCGACGGAAAGGTTGAAGTCACCAACGATGGTGCCACTATCTTGAAAGCCCTTTCTATTCAAAATCCAGCTGCTAGAATTCTTGTAGATATTGCCAAGACCCAAGATGAAGAAGTTGGTGATGGTACTACTTCAGTTTGTGTCTTCACAGGAGAATTGTTGAGACAAGGAGAAAAACTTTTAGATCAAAAGATACACCCTCAAACTATTATTTCTGGTTGGAGAAAGGCTTTAACTGTTGCTCACGCATCACTTTTGAAGGCCTCTGTTGATCACGGAAATGATAAGGAAGCATTGAAGAATGACTTGTTAAACATTGCACGTACAACATTATCATCAAAGATTTTGCAACAAGAAAAGGAATTGTTCGCTCAACTTGCTGTTGAAGCTGTTCTTAGATTGAACGGAAGTACTGATTTAAATCATATTCAAATTCTTAAGAAGCCAGGTGGTTCTATGAAGGACAGTTATTTGGATGACGGATTTCTTCTTGATAAAAGTGTAGGAGTTGGTCAACCAAAGAAAATGGAAAATTGTAAGATTCTCGTTTCTAACACACCTATGGATACTGATAAAATTAAGATTAACGGTGCTGTTGTAAAGACAGCCAGTATTGCTACACTTTCAGAAATTGAAAAGGCTGAAAAGGAAAAGATGAAGAAAAAATGTCAAAAGATTGTTGATCACGGAATTAATGTTTTCATTAACAGACAACTTATTTATGATTATCCTCAAGAATACTTTGCTGATAATGGAGTTATGGCTATTGAACATGCCGATTTTGAAGGTGTTGAAAGATTGGCTCTCGTTTTGGGTGCTGAAATTGTTTCAACATTTGAACATCCAGAATTAGTTAAATTGGGAACTTGTGCTGCTGTTGAAGAAATAATGATTGGTGAAGACAAACTTTTGAGATTTAGAGGATGTGCTAAGAATGAAGCTTGTACAATTGTTTTACGTGGTGCTTCTACTCACCTTTTGGAAGAAGCTGATCGTTCTCTCCATGATGCTCTCTGTGTCTTGTCTCAAACTGTTCTTAACACAAAGACTGTTTTGGGAGGTGGTTGTAGTGAAATGTTGATGGCTAAAGCTGTCTCTGAAGCTGCTAAACAAACTCCTGGTAAGGAATCAATTGCTATGGAAGCTTTCGCTAACGCTCTTAAGGCAATGCCTGCTATCCTTGCTGACAATGCTGGTTTGGACTCTGCTGAATTGGTTTCCGTTCTTGAAACTGAACATTACAAGGGTAATTCTGATTTTGGTATTGATGTTGTCAAAGGTGAAATTGGAAATTTGAGAACTTTAGGTATAACAGAATCATTCAAAGTGAAAGAACAAGTTCTTTTATCTGCATCGGAAGCTGCTGAAATGATTATCAGAACTGACGAAATTTGCTACTGTGCCCCTAGACAAAGAGAATAATCAACCTAAATTTATTAAATAATTTATAATTTATCTTAAGTTCCTCTATTCTGTGTATTTGAGTCATTGATATCATTGATATCTATCCTTTCAACACAATTTTATTTTGAATTGTTCCATTCCCAACTAGCCTGAAAATTCCCTCCATTTAAAACAACACAAAAAAATTCAATTAATTACCAACAACTCTTAGCATCATCCTCACTCTTGTTTAAATAATAATTTGATCATCAAATAGTTTAAAACAATCGGATCAAATACTTATAGAGGATGGCTCCAAGGAGATCAACTAGGTCCAACAAGATTGAAAAAGCAGGTTCAAGTGAAGATAAACCAATTCTCACACCTGCCAATGTTATTACGTATGTATGAATTTAAATTGTTTAATTAGAGGCTAATAATTTATTAACTTACAAATAGAATTTTGAAAGAATATCAAACTAAAATCCAAGATGAAATTAAGTTCATCAAATCAACAGGTGATGGTCGTACTAAATATCTTCACTATTACTTGGAGACTTTGAATAGTTCGGAGATTGATTTTTCAATCATGGAAGCCTTGGAACAAAGTTTAATTCCTGATTCTTCTTCTGCTACCAACAATAACTCTACTTCTTCTAGTAGCACCAGTAATGATGATGATAATAACATAACAATGGTGGAAGCAACAAGCAGTGTTGATGAACAACCAGCAACAGCAGTTGTGGATAAAGTAATTGTGGAACAACAAGTTGAGCAAACAAAGGCTAAATCACCAACTCCATCTATTGAACAAGTTAATGATGATTCTATTATGAAGGATGACCAAGTGGTTGAACCAACATCATCACACGTTGTTGAAACCACTCCAATAGTAGTAAAACATTCACCTATTCATAAAGATGATTCTACAACAAGTGAGCAACAACAAGTAGATTCTACCACTCTGATTTTACCACCATCACAATCAACACCAACTATTGAACAAGTTATTACAACATCAACACCACCTCCTTTATCACCACCTCCAACAACAACAATACCAATAGTAACATCAGACAAAGTTAACAAAGAAATCTTACCTCCTACAGTTCAAGAAGATATAACATTACCACCACCAATCACTACTACCAACAATGCTACTACTCCTCCTACCACCACTAGTATTATACCACCAACAATAGAACCATCAACAAGAGAAGTGACTGAGGAAGAGGAAACAATTGAAAGTGATGAAGAAGAGGATGAAGATTATCAACCTTCTAAAAAGAAGGCTAAATATACAACATCATCATCTAGTACTACTACTTCTTCTTCAAATGATGATGAAATTATAATTGATAAAGAAAGATTAGCAGAGGATGAATTACTTTCAAAAGAAAAGGAAATTTTGAAACAAGTTAAAGAAATGCAAAAGAGAGGAGAATGGCTTCCACAAACACAACAAAAAATTGGAAAAGAACCAAAAATTAACACAACACATTGGGATTATCTATTAATGGAAATGCAATTTATTCAAAGTGAAAATGCAAAAGAAAAGAAATGGAAAATGTCAACAGCTAAAAAGAATGCCAAAAATGTTGCTAAATATCATGAACAATTAATTCAACTTGAAGTGAAAAAGAAAAAAGAAGCAGAAGCTCATTTAAGAAAACAAGCTTCAAAAATTGCTAAAATTGTCAAGACTGAATTTTGGGATAAGATTAGAAAACTTGTTACTTTTAAAAATCAATCAATTATTGATGAAACAAAACAACAATTATTAGCTGAAAAGAGAGATTTACTTGTTCAACAAACTGAAAAATTTACACAACTCATTTCACAAGATTTAATTTTACAACCAACACCTTTACAAAATTCAAGTAATAGTACTGAATCAACAGCGACCACTACTATCAATGATAATACTAGTAATAATAATAATACAGATAGTAGTAGTAACAATGATAATATGGATACAACTTCAGATGATAAAAATACAGCAACACCATCAGTTGAATCATTAATTTTAAATAATTCTTCAGAAACTAATGAAGCAGAAGAAGAAGATTTTGATTCAGAAGAAGAATCAGATTTATCTGACGATCATATCATTGATTCTGATGATGAAGATGAGGATTATGAAGATGAAATTGCAATGTTACAAAAAGATATGGAAATGGATACTGAACAACTTCTTTTACAACATTACAATAAACCTCCACAAGATGAGGAGGAATTGTCATCACCACCACAACAAGAACAACAATCAGATGCCATTTCTACTACCACCACCAATACAACTACTTCCAATGATCATCATACTATGAGTGATGAAACTCTTACAAATATAGCAACTACATCTGATAATACTAATAGTAATAATAATACTAGTGATAATAATAATCAAAATGATAATGCTAAATTTATTCAAGTAGCAGAGGATGCTAAACAATATCAACCAACAGGATGTACACTTCAAAGTACCAAAGTTAAAACACCAATTCCATATCTATTAGATAAAGATTTAGTATTGAGAGAATACCAACAAATTGGACTTGATTGGTTAGTAACAATGCATGATAAGGGATTGAATGGAATTTTAGCAGATGAAATGGGATTAGGTAAAACTATCATGACCATTGCACTTATTGCACATTTAGCATCTAAAGAAGAAATATGGGGACCACATTTAGTTGTTGTACCTTCAAGTGTTTTATTGAATTGGGAAATTGAATTTAAAAGATGGTGTCCCTCATTGAAAATACTTTCCTATCACGGAACACAAAAACAGAGAAAGGATAAGAGAGTTGGATGGAGTAAACCAAATGCATTTCATGTTTGCATTACTTCATACAATTTAGTAATACAAGATGCTCTATCATTTAAGAGAAAGAAATGGCACTATTTAATTCTAGATGAAGCTCATCATATTAGAAATTTTAAAGGTCAAGCATGGCAAACATTGTTAAATTTTAATACTGAAAAGAGATTATTATTAACAGGTACACCATTACAAAATAATGTTATGGAATTGTGGTCATTGATGCATTTTTTAATGCCACAAGTATTTCAATCTCATTCAGAATTTAAAGATTGGTTTTCAAATTCAATTCAAGGAATGGTTGAAGGTAAACAAGAATTGAATAGAGAATTAATTTCACGTTTACATACAATTTTAAGACCATTCATTTTGAGAAGATTAAAGAAGGAAGTTTCAGAACAATTACCTTCAAAACAAGAACATGTTATCAAAGTTAGACTTTCACAAAGACAACGAAATTTATATGAAGATTTTATATCAAGATCTGATACGAGAGAAACTTTAGCTTCAGGAAATGTTTTTAAAATGATTAATGTTGTAATGCAATTAAGAAAAGTTTGTAATCATCCAGATTTATTTGAACCACGTCCAATTATTTCTCCACTTTCATTACAACCTTTAGAATTATTATCAATTCCATTAGATTTTATTAATATCGATAATATTTATTATGGTTCTAATGAATATATGAATGATAATTCAAATAGATTGAAATCTTTACAATTTACTTTGAAAAATTATTTCAATTTCATTTTTACACAATATGAAATGGAAATGAATCATTATCATTATTATCAAGTTAAACAGTTAAAAATTCAACCTTATCAATCATTTATTAATAATAATCATAGTAATAGTAATCATATCAATAGTAATAATAGTAATACTAATAATAATAATAATCATAACAATAATAATACTACCAATAATAATAATACTAACAAATCATTATTATTATTAGAAAATTTAACAATTGAAGAAGAGGAATATTTATATAAAATGTATCCTGATTTAAATATTGATAAACATTTAGATAATCCATATTTTAAGAAACGTTCATTAGAAATGGCACTTGAAAGATATAATGAAAAATCTAATAGATTAGCATATATGCAATTAGTTAATCAAAATAGATATAAAAGAAGACCTATTTATGGATATAATTTAATTAAAAAGATTGAAAGTTTATATTTAAATGATCATTTAAGAAAATATCATGAACATTCTAATATTAGAAATGTTAATCATTTAGAAATGAGTAATATTTTATTAGAAATGTGTAAAACTTATCAAGATGTTGCTCAAGATTATGATTTTGAATTGAATAATTTTATTTGTTTTATTCATCCAGCTAGAACAAGTGAAGAATCACAAATAAGAGAAGTATCAACTATTAGATATAAGAGAGATGAAATGAATGAAAATTCTAGACAATTAATTTCATCAACATTGGATTTAATAAGAAAACCATCTATTAGAATGCAAATGCATTTTCCTGATAAACGTTTATTACAATTTGATTGTGGTAAACTTCAAAAATTATCAAATTTATTAAAAGATTTAAAGAGAGGTGGACATAGAATATTAATATTTACTCAAATGAGTAAAATGTTAGATGTATTAGAATCATTCATGTCAATGAATGGACATTCATATTTTAGACTTGATGGTCAAACTAAATTAGAAGAAAGACAATACATGATGGAAAGATTTAACACTGATCCTAAAATATTTGCATTCATTTTATCAACAAGAAGTGGAGGTGTTGGTATTAATTTAACAGGTGCAGATACTGTTATATTTTATGATAGTGATTGGAATCCTGCAATGGATGCACAAGCACAAGATAGATGTCACAGAATTGGTCAAACTAGAAATGTTAATATTTATCGTTTAATAAGTGAATCAACTATTGAAGAACGTATTTTACTTAAAGCCAATCAAAAAAGACACATGAATGAAATTGTTATACATAATGGTGCATTTACACCTGATTTTTTAAAGAATCAAATGGAAGTGAGAGATTTATTTCAAGATTCAATTGATTTTTCATCTGCATTGAAATCTGCTGAAGAACAAATGTTAACTTTTAATACTACTACTACTAGTAATATAATAATAGAAGAACTATTATTTCTACTAATAGTGATGATAATGATGATGGATCAAAGGAAAATTATAATGAAAAGGATTTGGATAGAATTTTAGCAAGTGCAGAAGATGAAAATGATGTTGAAGGTTTGTTTTTTAAGATTTTTTTAATTTTTTAATTATAATATTATTTAATATAAATAGCATTGAAAAATGCAAAGAGAGAACAAAATGAACAATCTCAAAATGATTATGCTGATGAGGAAAATGCAGAAGATGATATTATCAAACATTTATCATCTGTTGAAAAGTATGTTTATTCTTTTATTTAAAATTTAAATTCAATTATAATTATATAATATTTAATATTAAAGATATGGATTTGAATTATTAACATCCATGACATTGAGAGCAGTTCAACAAGAAATTGAAGAAATGAAACAAAATGAAAAGGAAAAGACTGAAAATTGGAAGAGTGAAATTGAAACAATTCAACAACCAAATGAAGAAGAAGAAGAAGTCTGATAATAGTTCTGATGATCAATCTTCAGAAGAAGAATCTGATAATGAAATCGATGATTTAAAACAACAAGAGGTATTGCATCAATCACAATTACACAACACTGACACACACTCTATAACACTACCACCACTATTACCACTATCACCACCATTATCATCATTACAATTTAATAACGATATTAGTAATGATGATAAAATATCCTCCTCATCATCACGTAAACGAAAGAGTACACTATTGGAATAATCACAATTTCACTCAACTAAGTTTTTATAAAAATTTAATTTTTCACATAACAATTTTACTTACATTTTAAAGTTTAAACAAGATAGAAATGTATTAAATTCTTTACAAATTAGTATACCAACTGCAATATTAAGAGATTTATATGGTGATTTGGAAGAATTATTCATGACAAAAAAGAAGAATTCAATTAAGGATAATGATTTTGAATTACAACCTTCTATTTTACTTCCTTTTAATAATAATAATAGTATTAATAGTATGAATATGAATAATAATCATTTGAATCATTTGAATAATCATATGAATGATGATAATAGTTTAATTCAAGTTAATAATGAAATAATGAATGATGATAGTAGTGTATTATTAGATTATAGTGAAATTGGAAGTGGATCAATAGATGATATAATGATGTTTGCTGATTATCCTATTGTTAATAACACTACTACTACTAATGATAACAGTTCTGATTTAACACCAACTAGTATTTCATCACCAAAATCCAATTCAACAATAACTGGAAGTACTGGATCATCATCTTCTAATGAAAAGAAGAAGAGAAAGAGAAAGGAATCTGAAAATTCTAATCATTTAACCAGTGAATCATCCAATGTAAATAATAATATCACCTCATCATCATCTTCATCATCATCATCAATAACAACACCAATAACAAATTCACTATTAGAATCTAAATCTATTATTTTAATTGAACAACAACCTAAGAAGAGAACATCTAAATTAATAGATAAATCACCTCTAAAACCATCATCATCTTTAAAATCTAATTTAAATTCTTCAACACAACAAGCATCATCTTCAACAACAATTAGAAGAAAGAATAATAGATCAACTAGTCAAGATACAGAAACATTTATATGGACATTAGAGGAGGAACAATTATTATTAAAACTAGTTGAAAGACATATACATTTTAATAATTCTAGTAGTACTAGTAATAATTCTAATAATAATTTATCATTATATGAATCAACAATTGAAGAAATTAAAGAAGGTGTTAATTGGCAACATGTAACTGACATGTTAAATGAAATATTATCACCCATATGTCCAAATAGATCAGCACAATCATGTTCTAATAAGGTTGAATTATTATTAAAAGAAATTCAATCAAGTAATAATTTAACTGATCGTACCAAAGATAGAACATTTGATGAATTAGTTAGAGAAATTAAAGAATTTAGATTGAAGAGAGTTTACAATTGTATAACTGGTACTTTTATTGGAACACCAATAGTTGGTAATAATTCAAATTCAAATTCAAATACTTCTAATAACATATTATCAATGAGTAGTGGTGGAACTATATTATTACCACCACCTTCTTCATCCTCATCTAATACTACTACTTCTTCCTCTAATACTTCTAATAGTAATGCAATGAAGAGAAGGAGTAAAACACAAAATTCCATAACATCACTTGTATCCTCTCTATGTATGATACATAAAAAGAAGAAGAAATCATCATCCTCATCATCATCAACAACATCATCATCGACAACATCATCAACAGGTAACAACAAATCAGATTCATTTGTTGTACTATCAGCATCACAATCAAAGAAATTACAACCACCTAAATTATTAATATCCTCTACAATTGTTGAATCTCAATTAATTTTAAATAATATTAATGCTACTTCTAATAGTAATGCATCAAAACATACACTTGATTATAAGAATACTGAAAAACAAACACTTACATTAAATTATTATAATGAATTTGAAAAGAATACAAATATGGAAAATAATAATAATACTACCAATACCAATACCAATACTACTAATACTAGTAATATAGATTTAAATGATTCAGATAATAATTCAATACCATCATCACCTATAACACCAACTCTAAAAACAATGAGTCAACAATTTGATTTTATGAATGATGATGAATTTGGATTAAATATAATTGGAATGAAAAAATCAAATTCTTATTCTTTCAATTTTAATCAACAACAACAAACAAATAATAATAATAGTGGTGGTAGTGGTAGTAGTGGTGTTGGAACAATTGGACCAACTAGTCCACAACATCAACGTAAACGTGGTACTATTACATCATCTAATAAGCAATCAAGTAATGTTATTAATAATACAAGTAATATGGCAACAACTAGTTCTGTAATAACACCAATGACACCATTAAATACATTATCAAGTAATAATAATAATACTATAACCAGTAATAATAGTATGATGGGTTTATTAACACAACCTTCATTTATTAATAGTAATAATACTAATATTAATAATAATACTAATAATAATAATTCAACAAGTAATGTTAATGTAGTGAATTCAGCAACATCTGCTGCAACTCAACCAGCAACAGGTGCATTCTTACAAAATAGAAATCATTTATTATCTACTCAAGCAAATAATATGGTTGTTGGAGTTAATGTTAGTGGAATTGGATCAGCAGCAACATCAACAGTTGGTAATATTGTTAATCCTGCATTACTAACACCTGGTACTACTTATGGTGGCCAACATATTCAAAATGTTGGAACCTATTATGCAACTCAAGCATATACACGTGGATCAATTGTACCAACTATTAATCCAATGGTTAATACTTATTTACAAGCTCAATATAATGCTTCTTTATATAGAGCTAATGTTGGAACACAACAACCAATATATTTCAATCCTAATATTGTAAATAATATTGTAAATACCAATAATACAAATGTACACACCATCAATAATCCAACCAATGCAGCAACTCAACCTGCAACTAGTCGACAATCAACAAGTAATTCTTTTGCTCCAAGTTTTTTCATGAATCAAAATAATCAAAACAAGAAACAATAAATTGATTGTCATCTTTTCTTTAAATAAACTTTGAGCATATGAATAGATTCGTAGTTAAATGGAGAATAAAAAGCATTACCAAATCTTTTCTTTAAATAATCTTTATTGTTTAGTAGTAGCATTTTCAAATCTTTGAACAAGTCTTTGATTTTGACCACTGTGTGGCTTCTTTTCAAGTCTCTTATCCAGCAATGACTTGGCAATTGGATGATTTTCCTTGTTTGGTGAATTGAAAATGGCATGAAGGAATAAAAGTTCAAATACATCTCTTTGAGCATTAGATCCACCAATTAAATGAGTCTTTCCAGGGAGAATGACATCTTTGAGTAATTGAATAGTTTCATCAAATTTAGAATCATTAAAAGCATTAATTGCCTTACAAATTGGAATACCAACTTGTTGATGAACAAGAGCACAAGTATGATTAACATCATTAGATTTGGAATTTGTATAATTTTCCAATGATTGAATATGTGAATTAATAATTTCTTCATGAATTAATCTATTATTAAATACCATTGTAATATGAGCATCATTAAAAGATAAAGCATGACTATGAATAATATTTTTCCATTGATTTCTAACCTTTTCCCATCTATTATCATTCTTTTCAATCATACCTTCTAAATATAATCTAAATAATAAAGCAGAAGCATCAACTAAATCTAATGGAGTAATTGACTCGATGAAAATTGAAATCTTTTCATCATAAATTTTTAAAATTTCATCCTTTTTTCCTTGATCCATTAAATATAAACAGAAATGCCACCACATATGACATGCTAATGCTTGACAATTAGCCCAATTATTTTCTTCTAATTTCATAAATTCAATTCCTTTTTGAATTTCACCTCTCATTTCATTAATATGAACAATTGCATGTAATGCCCATGCATCATCTTGATTAATTTCAATAGCTTTAATTGCTGCTTTCATACCTTCATCATATCTATGTACTTCTTCTAATCCAAATGCTTTTTATATTAAATAAAATTAAAAATTAAATTAAAAATATTTAATAATATTTAATAAAATAAAAAATAAAAAATAACCCACCTAACATTCCCATAAAATAACCATATAATTCCATAGGTACATGATCATCTTGTTCATAAATATTTAAATGTTTTTCAACACTTGAACAAATATTATTAGATTGACCAAGATAGAAATAAGCATCATGTGCAAATTTAAGTGCAATTACATCTAATGAATCAATTTTTAATAATTCTTCCCATATTTCAGTAGCATTAATATATCTACCTTCTCTCCATGATTCTAATGCTTTAATATGAAGAATTTCAATTTCATTTTCACTTTTTAATTCTTTTAAAAATTTTAATTTTTTTAAATAATTTTCATTATCTAAAAATAGATCAGTTCTTAATAATTCACTTCCTAATTCAATCACTCTTGCCATTACATTTAATGGTTCTTCTTTTAATGTTTTTTCAAGTGTTTCTGTCATTGAATTCTTCCATCCAATGTACTTTTATGATCATGATGATTATATGTATACTTAATTGTATTGTTATTAC